GAAGCGGCAGCAGCAGAGAAGCTGCGGCTACAGGCCGAGGCTGACGCAGATGCCCAGGCTCGCCGCAAGGAAGCCCAGGATCTGCTGCAGCGGCATGAAGCCACAAGCATYGACARACTCAAGTTYTGGCACTTTGAACCGAACRGCGACGAGGMAACACMRGAAGAGCAGCATAAGGAGTTCCTCTCCAAACTCGTGACACGGTTGTTGTATGCTTGCAACTACCAACGGTCCGAGTTGGAGAGACAGAACCAGGAACTGCAACAGCTGTTCCAGGATCTGACGCAACAACACCATGAGTTGGCGAACCTCCGTCGGATAGTGCAAAGCCACGAGGATGCGACACAGGCAGTCAATGCCCGTGTATTGGACCTGGAACAGGCTGTACCAGGACCAGATGCTGGTGCTTCCAGCAGTGCACCCTCTAGCCGCCAACTGGAGCAACGCGTTGACCACGTGGTGGCAATGCTCGACGACATCAGCACCTTCGCTGCGCCGACCACCATCAGCAGCCAGCTGCATACCTTGCAGACCGAGGTCCAGCAGCTGCAGTCGACGAACACGGATGGCAATCCTAAGTTGTACAAAATGCCAACTTTCCAACTGGAAAAGTTCGACGACTACACGCAGCAGGATCCGACCCTCTGGTGGGAGGCATTCACGACGCAACAAGATTCTGCTCGTCGCCAAGCACGCGTACATCGGCGCCCTGTTCATGAACTCAAAGGGCGGATGCCAGACCTGGTTGACCCACCTGCCAGCCTCCCACAGCGTCGACGTACCAGATCTGAAGGACAAGATCACATGGGAGGAACTGACACGGCTGTGGAAGAAGTGGTTCATCGTCGACGACGCGCCGACACTCGCCATCAACCGTTTGTTCACCATGTCACAGGGCAACACTGCAACACGGGATTGGCTCACGGAGTGGCAGAAGATTGCGGCAGTGCCCAATCTGGACTTGCCATTCACACATTTACGCCGTGAGTTCTACAACAGGTCCTGTGCTGCATTGAGCCAGGCTCTTGGTGATCGCGAGCAGCACACCACTTTCGCTGAGATCATTGACAAAGCGAGGGAGATCATCAAGACCAACAGGCCAGCTGCACACGAGAAATCAACATGGCAGCCGACCTATGTGGAGAAGGTACGAACTGGTCCGCGACCGCAGCACTTCGCTGCAGTCCAGTCGGACAATGGAGATAACCCAGCAGCCACTCCAGCATCAGGTGACGGAGATCAGGTGGCTGCTGTCCATCCGCGAAGCAACAACAAGTCCCGCAACAATGGGAAGGCGAAACCAGCATCGCAGGCCGGAAATGGACAGCTTCCATGGGTCAAGTTCAGCTTGACCGAGGCGAAGTACAAGTACCGCGGTCGCTACGGCTGCTGCTACTGGTGCAACAGCACCAAGCACAAGACCTCACTGTGCCAGGATCAGGCCAAGGAGGATGTGCGACCCCGCCTCAACTCGGGAAACTGAGTTCTGCGGAAGGTGAGGCGACTCCACCTTCTACTCCACCAGGTTCGACCGCCTTGCTAGCGGCCTCCTGCACATCTTGGGAGAACGCGAATGTCGCAAGTTCTCGTTACACTTACCAAGGACTATGCTGTCCACTTGGTTCCACCGCTGGACCAACCGCTCCACGTGCAACAATCCATCGCGTGCATGGTTTCATCACCATCGGCAACCGATTCGGCAGCTTCGCCGCAATCTATCGTCGGGGATTCGACGTCAGGGTCAAGACTTGAAGAGCTCGACCCGTTGACGTTCACGGACTTCCGGTGGATGCCCGTTCCCTCGACCGGACGATTGCCGAAACCGCATTGCAACGTGCTGATGGCAGAATGGCGGGATTACTTGCACACTGCAGTACCAGCTCCGTTGATGGACGCCGGAGCAGAGGTTGTCGACCTTCAGGTTTACATCGCGAAGATCGACCGCGAGTTCAAGACGCAACGGTACGACGACATAGACGCACCATTGTTATAAGTACGCATTCAGATCGGAGAGGCAACCTGCAGTGCCTTGATCGATTGCGGAGCATCTCGCAACTACATCAGCCAGGACTTCATGGTGCGCGCCGGCCTTGGCCCACGCGACCGAAGGAAGCCCTAGCCTACGCAAGTCACATTGGCGGACTGTCGCACGCACAAGTCAATCGACCGGTGCATTGACGACGTCCCAGTGTACTTTGCCCCTCACGCAAGTGAGGCGGTGTCCTTTGACATTCTGGACACCAAAATCGACATGATCTTGGGCATGTCATGGCTGCGAAGCAAGGATCACCCGGTGAACTTCTTCAACCGCACCGTTCACGTTCGTGATCGGAAGGGAGTATTAGTTCCATGCACGGTGCCTCTTCCTCATCCTTCGATCAGCTGCCACGTGGTATCCGCCGCAAGCATGCGAGCTTCCATCATCCGAGACGACATCGAGGAGATGTGGGTGTGTTTTCTCCACACCCTCCCGCCCCGAGACGCTTCATCGACGGACTCATCTTCGGATCCACGCATCACCGAGCTTCTCGACGCCTACAGCGACGTGTTCGAAGGCCCCCACGGAGTAGTACCGGATCGGCCCATCCGCCACGAGATCATCCTCGAGGACGGGGTCGTACCTCCGCGCGGTTGCATCTGCCGAATGAGCGAGGAAGAGTTAAGTGTGCTTCGAGCACAACTCGACGACCTTCTGGAGAAAGGTTGGATTCGGCCTAGCTCATCGCCATACGGTGCTCCTGTTCTCTTCATCCGGAAGAAGAGCAAGTACCTGGGGTTGTGCATCGATTATCGCAAGCTCAACGTACAGACGATCAGGAATGTCGGCCCTCTCCCATGCATCGACGACCTTCTCGAGCGACTGGGCGGCGCCAAGTTCTTCTCCAAGTTGGACCTCAAGTCAGGATATCACCAACTCGAGATTCGCAAGGAGGATCGCTACAAGACCCCGTTCAAGACATGGTATGGGCATTTCAAATGGCTGGTCATGCCGTTTGGCCTTACGAATGCCCCAGCCACTTTCCAAGCGGCTATGGCAACGGAGTTCCGACACATGCTGGATCGGTTTGTACTCATCTACCTCGACGACATCTTGGTGTATAGTCGGAGTTTGGAAGAGCATGTGGAACACCTGCACACCGTTTTGGAGCGGCTACGACAGGCCAAGTACAAAGCAAACCGCGACAAGTGCAAGTTCGCACAGCAGGAGCTGGAGTACTTGGGCCACTATGTGACGCCGAAAGGCATCCGTCCGCTCGCGGACAAGATCGAGGCCCTACGAGTGTGGCCCGAGCCCACCAACACCACGGACGTTCGTTCATTCATGGGATTGGCGGGCTACTATCAGCGATTCATCACTGGATATTCCAGGATTGCTGCACCTATGACGAGGTTACAGTCGCCAAAGGTGCCATTCGTATTCGATGACGACACACGCCGGTCATTCCAAGCACTTAAGACGGCTATGCTCATGGCACCCGTCCTTAGCATCTATGACCCCACCCTGCCGACGAGAGTGACTACGGACGCTTCCAGCTATGGCGTTGGGGCAGTCTTGGAACAACACGACGGCGGCGACTGGCACCCTGTGGAGTACTTCAGCCACAAAGTACCTCCCATCAACTCGCTTGATGATGCAAGGAAGAAGGAGTTACTCGCGTATGTCATGGCTCTCAAGCGATGACGACACTTCCTCCTTGGGCGCCGTAGGTTAACATGGGTTACGGACAACAATCCATTGACCTACTACAAGACGCAGGATACGGTGAGCAGCACGATCGGACGATGGATGTACTTCATCGACCGGTTTGACTTCACACCGAAACATCTTCCCGGCCTCTCCAATCGCGCAGCGGATGCACTCTCGCGAAGACCTGATCTTTGCGCGATGACTCATCATGCCTTCGCGTTCGACGAGGAGCTTCAGCGACACCTCATCCGGGCATACCAGTCAGACCCGAACTTCGCCACGCTATATGCACAACTATCTTCGGATCACCCGCCGGCCAGCCATTACCGCATTGTCGACGGGTACTTGCTCCTCCACTCGAGAGGCAAGGACTTACTATGTGTCCCACGCGATCGCCGTCTTCGGACTCGCCTCCTCGGCGAGTATCATGATTCGCGACTCGCCGGCCATTTCGGAGTCAACCGCACTATTGCACGGCTTCGACAGCGATTCCGATGGCCCGATCTCATTTCCGATGTCACTCGGTATTGCGACTCTTGCGAAGTTTGTCGACTCAGCAAGCCCCGCAACCGCAATCCCTACGGCGAGTTACACCCGATGCCTATCCCACAAGAAGCTGGTCTCTCCATTGCCATGGACGTCACTGGTCCGTTTCCCCGCGACCGGCTCGGGCATGACAGCATCCTCACGGTTGTGGACCGATTGAGTAAGTACGCGCGTTTTCTCCCTTGCAAGTACTACTCCACGGCTCCCGAGCTGGCACGCCTCTTGCACACTGGTTGGATTTGTGGCCACGGTGTACCAGAAGACATAGTAAGCGACCGTGACACTCGTTTCATGTTAGCATTTTGGACTGCGCTCATGCAGGAGTCCGGCACGACGATGAAACCTAGTTCGGCTCGGCATCCTCAGACAGACGGGCAGACGGAGCGGGCACATCAAACCGCTCAAATGATGCTTCGTACGCTCATCCGTCCGGTCCAGAAAGATTGGGTTGACCGCCTCCCCGACATTGAGTTCGCCTACAACACTTCAGTGCACCCGACGATCGGCGTGACTCCATTCGAGTTGCACCACGGTGGACGGAAAGGCCGCATCTTCGCCGACCTTCTCCTCCCTCGACCAGCCGACATTGACACCGCCTGCTCCCCCGCTTCCGTTCGGAAGTACATGGACTTGCTGACTCAAGCCCGCGCGAATATGCAAAAGGCTCAAGTCCGCATGCAACAGCAAGCCAACAGGCGTTGCGTGCCATATCCTATCCGCGCCGGTGATCTTGTTTGGGTCTCCGCGGAAGAGTTTGCACTGGAACAGGACGTTTCACGCAAACTGCTTCCCAAGTGGTTTGGACCATGGACTGTGACAGCAGCCGCGGGCGATGAGCCCGAAGGCCCTTCGTTTGTGATCAACATTCCAGAGCATCTGACGGTCCATCCAGTCTTTCATGCCTCGAAGCTGGCAACTTACACGCCAGCCAAGAGCGACGACTTTCCGGGCCGACGATCGCAGGACCCTCCCTCTATGGATGGTCATCAGGAAGTTGACCGCATCATCACCGATCGCAAGTACGGCAGCAAGCCGCGGTAGTACAAAGTCACATTCAAAGCATGCGATCGCGACGACACTCGGTGGATTTCAGGCGCAGACATGAAAGCATCCGCACCGCTCATCTACTCGCATTATGAAAAGCGGAGATTAGCTCAGGAAGCTTCACGACCAGCCCCTCCCACCCGGACTGTGGTCCCTCCCTCGGACAGACAGCTTCGCCCTCGCAGGTAAGCTCGGTCTTTCAAGGAGGGGGGGGGGTGGCATACTGCGTAGCCACACGGGCCCTGCAGGGCCCGTCCCGGACATTCAGCCTAAAAGCCTAAAACTTAGGGCTTACAGGCCTCGGTCGTTTCAGCCTGAAAGCTGAAAAACGAGGGCCTGCAGGCCCTACTCCGTTTCATCCTAGACCCTGAGTTTTTCCTGCCTGAAACGGAGGGCCATTTTCACGCCCTCGTTGTTTCCACCGCCCCTAAGACTCAGGCACATAAACAGGGATGCGGAACAGGCCAGAAATAGCCTGTTCCTCATGAGCTTGAGCAGGAGCTGCAGCTGCAGCCCCTGCCTTCCCTCGGCATTGGCAAGAGCAGCCTCCTGGACTGCTCGCACGAGTCAGGAGGCACCCGTGGTAGTACATAGGAGCTTCCCAGGCACTTCACGGGTAGGTAGTCAGACAGTAGTCAGGTGTAGTCTTCAGGATAGCGGAGCAGCACTCGGAGGAGCRCTGCCCAGGGCAGATAGCGCTAGTGGTAGTCTTTAGCGCTGGGCGCCATAGCTGTAGTCTTCAACGCTGGGCGCTWTAGCAGTAGTTGTARTAGTGATATGGGAGAGAGGTGACTGGCGGAGGCCAGTGGTACTTACCTGTGGCRCCATCGCTCCAGCTCCATCTTCGAGGTACCTGCATCACAGCGCCACCTTCACAGGTTAGTACTGGACTGCGAGAGAGAGAGAGTTCTTCTTCTTCCTCTTCTAAGTCCACCATCTCTTCTTCCCCTCTYGCTGCCTACTTCTCARTATCTGTGGACTACGAGAGAGAGATAYGACTGGAGACTTGACGACATTGGATACAGACTCGACATTTGGGATTYAGACATTTTGACGAGGGACTATTTGGGCYTGTGCCGAAGACTTGGTGTTGACGACATTCCCATYTTTCCCTCCTCTTCGTCTAACCCCCCTCATCTTCGTCTGTGAATGTGTGGGGCTGGCGCAGTCTTCCTGTGTGAAGCGCCAGACCCCTTTCACACTCTGGGATGATGATGATGATGTATGTTCGGGGCTGCATTGCAACATTGATTGATCGGATCATTGGTATCTAAGTCTTCCGTTTGCGCCATCTTGTACTTTGCATTGAGAGGTCGGTTCTTGTTCTGGTCTGCACGTTACAGTATGCAACACCACCTCTACACCGAGCACCGGATCAGCAGCCGACGAACCTTGGGCGCAATACGGACTCTCGGCGAATTGCTATCGCACGAGACTCAAGTAACGTTACTGCCTTCAGTGCAACAGCACCATCCACGATGCTGCACATTGCCCCACCAAGGGGAAACCCCGTTCGGGAAAGTAGGCGCCGCCGAGGGTGACTCGACACCTCCCTCGACGCCATCGGAAGCGGTTGTGCGCACGACCGCCCTTTCTTCCGAGGCATATGCGGATGTCGGGAGTCTTCCACTTTCGTTCGAAGACTTCGCTGCCCGGCTCTTTCCTTCATTGGATGCTTCTCAAGGACAAGATACATGTGCGGCTTTCTCACCGTCCGAAGGTTCTTCCGCCAGTTCGTCTTCATCAAGGGATTCGGCAAGCGTGTTCAACGAGGAGGTCTTGGACCCGCTCACGCCCGAGGATTTCGCTTGGAYTCCTCTCCCTACGACGGGCAACCTTCCGAGGCCGCAAAGCGCAGCACTGTGCGCCCTCTTACACGAGTATCTTTCCTTCCATGCACCACCAACTTCGCCGACGGTAGACGAAGTCGCGGTGGGGGACATGCTTGGCTATGTTGCCAAGGTGGCCCGCAAGTTTGTCTCGCAACGGTACGAAGAAAACAACGAACCGTTGCTCTACGTCCGCATTCAAATTGGGCAAGCGGCCTGCAACGCTTTGCTAGATTGCGCCGCAACTCGCAACTTCATCAACCAGTCCTTCATGACTCGAGCTGGCCTTGGCGCACAAGTACGGAGGAAGTCACATCCGACGACGGTCTCTCTTACCGACGGTAAGAAGAAACAACTTTTAGACCGTTACATCTCGGCTGTCCCGGTGTACTTTGCACCGACTTCGATGTCATTTTGGGGATGCCTTGGCTTTCTACCGCGGACCACACGGTCAATTTCCATCGACGCACGCTCACGATTCATGATGCAACTGGCGTCGAGGTCCCGTGTACTATTCCTCCTCCCCGCTCTTCCATTCGGTGCCAAGTCGTGAGTGCCAAATCTTTTCGAGACACATGCCGTTCCGAGCATGTCGAAGGGATTGGCATCGCTTTTCTTCGAACCGTCCCGACGACCGACTCATCGTCCACGGATGTGTCTTCCGACCCCCGTGTGACCCGATTGTTAGACGAGTTCTTGGATGTTTTCGAGACACCCTCCGGTATAGTGCCGGACCGGCCGATCTCTCACGAGATCATACTTGAGGCCGGCGCCGTGCCACCAAAGGGATGCATTTATCGCATGTCCGAGGAGGAGCTCACGGTTCTCCGTGCACAACTCGATGATCTTCTTGACAAGGGTTGGATCCGCCCTAGCAGCTCACCTTACGGTGCGCCCGTTCTCTTCGTTCGGAAGAAGAACAAGGACCTTCGACTTTGCATTGACTACCGAYGYCTCAACGCGCAAACCATCAAGAACGYGGGGCCTCTACCTCGCATTGAYGATTTGCTTGAGCGGTTGGGCGGCGCCAAGTACTTTTCRAAGTTGGACCTCAAGTCGGGCTACCATCAGATTTCCATCCGCCCGCAAGATCGGTACAAAACCACGTTTGAGACGCGATATGGGCATTTTGAGTGGGTAGTTATGCCTTTTGGCCTCACCAATGCCCCGGCTACCTTTTAGGCGGCCATGACCACCGAGTTTTGCGCTATGTTGGACCGTTTTGTCTTGATCTACTTGGACGACATCCTCGTCTATAGCCGAACTCTAGAGGAGCATCTCAAGCACCTTCGCCGTGTTCTAGAGACTCTTCAGTCAGCCCGGTACAAAGCCAACTGCGACAAATGTGAGTTTGTCCGGCAAGAGCTTGAATACCTGGGCCATCTTGTATCTCCGGAAGGCATTCGTCCGTTGGCGGACAAGATTCACGCCATCCAGGAGTGGCCCGAGCCAAAGAATGTGACGGACGTCCGATCCTTCCTCGGCTTGGCCGGTTATTATCAGCACTTCATCAAGGGTTACTCGAAGATCGCGGCCAACCTAAGCAAGTTACAAAGCGAGGAGCGGCCTTTTGACTTCGACGACGATGCGCGCCATTCTTTTGAAACACACTCAAAGCGGCACTCTTGTCCGCCGACGTGTTACATATTTACGACCCGCTTCTAGCTACACGCGTCACTACCGATGCGTCGGGCTATGGCATTGGGGCCGTCCTTGAGCAGCACGATGGCACGGACTGGCACCCGGTCGAGTACTTYAGCAAGAAAGTACCTCCCGTGCATTCGATCGACGACGCACGGAAGAAGGAGCTTCTTGCCTTCGTCCACGCCCTCAAGCGTTGGCGACATTTCCTCCTTGGTCGGAAAGCATTCCGATGGGCAACG